AATAAGAGAAAGCCAGTACAAATCTTTTAGGGAGTGGAGGTGGAAGTCGTACAGATGCTGCTACTTCATGAAGTTGGTGCGACATGACATGGCGGCCCGAGTTTGGTTGGGGAATCAATTCAGGTTTGTGACTGGTGAAGTATAAGAAAACGAAAATAACAGTAAGAAGTAGTGGTAAAATAAGAAGTATCCACTTTACATGTACTGCCGCCATTATTACCAGTCTTGTGTTTTCCGGCGTTAATCGTTGCGACCAATTAGTGTATAATTATTATTAGTGTTGCCAGATGGGTTTGGCCAAGGCTAATAATTAATAAATCCCTAATAATTAATATAAATAAACAAGATAATTAATTATATCACGTGACATAGTATTGATCAGCGCGGAAAATGGCAGATGGCTTCATTGCATGCAGCTCATGCAGTAGTTCTCTTTCTGGCACTTGTGCACTTTTAAAGAAAAGAATGCTGGATAAATATATGAGACTGTATCTGTTGCAGAGGATATTATATATCAAGAATTAGTGAGAAAATTGTGCATGTGTAGTATTAATTTCTTTGTTGTGATAGTCTGCTCCACTGTGATAATTCTTTACAGTTTGTTTTATTAAATTAGATGCCTGTGCTATACTATAGTTTGCTGCATCCATTTTCCCCCTGCACAGTACTTGTACTGAGACTCTATAGATGATCCAGATAAACGTAGTTGTTCATTTATATTTATTAATTATTAGTACTTTATGTCTCATACATCATACATGCCTCTACCACACAATCACATTTTCACACCTTGTTAACACTATGCTATTACACAATATATACTGACACAGGCTTGCATGAACAGAACATTCTAGAACATCATTCTCTAATATAAGCACACACTCTCTCTTGTTCTCTCTCTCTCTTTTGATTTTTTGCTGTTGTCGAATGTTGATTCAGTATCTATATTTGTTGGCTATATCTCCTTCGTTGTACTACCTGCTGACATTATACTGGTAAATCTATATCAGTACAATACTCTTTTAACTTGCTATTTTTGGGTTTCAGAATTAGCTCAAACAGTATAGTGGTGATACAAAGTAAACTGGATATTGTATGAAAAATTTCTCACAAATAAACCCATACTACACATCTATTCTTAATAAGTCAAAAGCTACATTGTAGATTATTAAAATTAATGAATAAAATAATAATTATAGATATCATACTTTGCCAGGCTAAGAATTTCTTTTGTGCTGCATTGGAATACTCAAAGTTTGGATCTATAAAAGGGTACGTTATAGTAAGTTTTGAGATTGATTTTATTACCATTCTTGAAAATTTCATCTACTAGTAGCCACTTTGCAAAAATGAAAATCCATCCTCAATTGATGTAATAATCTCTGACTTCATGTGAGTTACCTTTAAATGATAAAACAACCCATTTTCAAATATTTTTGCACAGGCTTCTAAGAATAAAAGAGTGTTTCTCACACTACACAAATCATCAGCATTTGGATTGTAAATAATGTAGTGTGAGAGCTCCATAAGTACATGATCTTGCTGCAGTAAAGTAATTATTATAATTAATTTTATTATTATTGAAAAAAAATTAGTTATACCTGCATTATTTTTGCTGGAGCAACATTTAGCTTGGTGCATGCATCTCTCAGTTATAATGTAGGGCTCTTTCAATTTAGGGACCATTCTTGTCAGACCTTTGCTAACCCTTTGGCAATCTCTTGCATATACAGTGACATGATTGCATCCCATTCAAAATTAGAGCCATTTAATAGAAATTCCTTTGTTCCTTTATCTTTTGAGGATAATAGAGCGTTGATCATATTTTTGAGCTTAAAAATAAATCAATGAATCCACGCTTGCAGTGACATTATTAAACTAACTTGATGACTGGGACATAATTAAACTTTATCATTTCCCGCCCTCAAATCACTCATTTCTGATTTTATGTGGAACAAATTTTTTAATGATTTTGATGCAACCTTTCCATGCACTTTCCATCTGAAATGTCCGTGCCAGAATTGCTACTCTAAACCGCACAATTCTATTTTACTTTAATTAACTAATTTAAATTTAATTTAATTCTGTATTTTCTTTGCATGTAATTTTTCAGGTCTTCCATGTACTATGGTTGTGCCTTCAATTGTGCATTTGTCTTTTTTTTCTTTTCTGTTCCAAAACTCTCCATCTTTATATATTGTAAAGTTTCAATAATAATAATAAAATAATAATGAACCAATAAATCTTATTTGGTGAATCAAATGGATTAATCATATAGGGAGATATTTTTAATGGGTCTTCTTCATCTAATGATAATAATAATACATGTACATTAAGTTTTATTTAGATATAATATACTATGCTTGATTGGATATGCTCCAAAATGACCACTGATGAGTTGCCTTCAATGTACTTAAATTTACAGAAGCCCCATAGCAAACAAGTAGCAATGTTTTCAGACCAGAACGATTTAACTGTTTCCATTACACATGAAAATATAAATTTACTTTCAAGTGTTTTGGAACAATTAAAGTAAGGCAGTAGTCTCTAATATTTATGTTATATCAAAGCTGCCTAAAATAAATACAAAAATTACAGCTTTAAATTATACATATTGCATGTACTTGTTAGCTCTCCATAAAAATTGCAAGATGTAAGGTATCTGTAAGATATAAAATCTCTTTAATTCAGAAGAAGCTGCAGTACAGTCACCGTTAATGGACTCATTTAGTTTTGGCATTTCACTTTGTGAAGTTCTCACTTGTCGATATCCTGACCGTCGGATTTTTCGTGATATGTGGCAGAGCATTCAAAATCTTGATGAGGGTCTTTATGATCTTGTAGTATGTTGCACGGAGAGAGAACCTAGCAAAAGACCAGTCATGAAAGAAATTACTTTAGGTTATAATATTTTAGACCAGACAATGATGTGAAATAGTATATTGACCGGGAAGGCATAATTGTTTGTACATACTCAAGACCACAAACTATCTAGTTTATTTATCTATGTAAATGTTATTGTTAGTATAGTAGTCTTTGTTTTTGATAGATAGTAGTCACATCAAAAGCTGTGGTTTTTCAGTAATGAAACCCATTATGTTTGTTTTTAAAATGAAAGTGCATTAAGTATAAATACAACAAATATACTGGCTTGGGCTAGCTAAGCCTAACACTTCCCAAACAGCTTTAGGGGCGAGGCCACTCACCTTTGGTGTCTCGTTATGACAACTTTATCAGGCTGAACCCAATTTGATTGTCTATCTCACATCAGAGATAGTCTGCTCCGAGTTGCGATAATTTTGATTTGACATAATTATTACCTACCGAGACGTTTTATACTTGCTTTTATTTACTAACTAATTTATGAATTAATTTCAAGATAAAAATGATTCAAAATTAATTAGTACATCCCTTAATTTCCACAACAGGGTTGGAGCTTTTTTCCTTGTATCTCTTCACAACTCCTCCTTGAAAAGATCCTCCACCACACACTACTAGTCTTGTAGCTCTGGACAAAATTTTCATCTCAACTTGAGCAATAAAAGCACCATTATCTACCCCATGACAGAGCAACGGATCATATGCAGACCTCTTGACACCATGTGATGCCATTAAGTTGACATACCTTTTATTACGAAGTCCAGTGTAATCAGTGAAATATAGAATGTGATTGATTTTGTATTTCAATGACACCTCGTTTGCCTTTTTAATTGCATTTAATATGCATTTTGTGTCGTTAAGACGATGGCTATTTCCGTTAATCTCTAAATATTCAGTTCTAATATGAACACCAGTGTAATCCACACCACTACCTATAGTTTGGTTAATGTATTCACTAGCATTCCCAATAACATATTGACTATGAGGCAAGATAGGTGATACAGATGTGTAATTATTTAAGAACTCTAATGGGACAAACATACGAAAGCGTCTGTTTGGGTCCGGATGGGTTATGCCACGCCAAACTTTGAATATAACCACAAAACTACTAAAGGATTTAAAGCCACAAATAGTTGCTATGTCATCGGGGAGAGTCGGTATGGCTGCGTTAATTTCACAACAAGATATCCTTATTCCAGGGAAATGTGGATTGTTCCAGTATTTATTGAATATTGAGCAGTGTCTCCTTTGCCCATGATCATCATTTTGGTCCTTGTTATATACAATGTTAACATAAAATATCCACAGCTGGTCTTGTAGTTCCTTAACAAACTCTTTGTATGGAATCAGTGGGGCATAATCAGTGTACTTTGGAGGGTGACCTGTAAAATTATCAAGCTTGAACAACAGACCTAAATCAAAGTCCACTGTTTTGTCACCATCGGTGACGTAGTGGAAATTTCTGACTCTTTGACCGGAAGGAAAACCAGATAAAAATGTACGATATAGAAAAGGGACTGGTACCTCTGCTTTCCACAGACGAGCAAATCTAAGCAATGAAAGGAAATTACTGACACCCTGTGTCATTTGCTCCCAGTAAGAGAAAGCTAGTACAAATCTTCTAGGGAGTGGAGGAGGTCGCACAGACGCTACTTCATAAAACTGCGACGTGACATGGCGGCCAGAGTTTGGTAGGAGATTCCGTTCAGGTTTGTGACCGCTGAAATATAAGAAAACGAAAATAACAGTAAGAAGTAGTGGTAGAATAAGTATCCACTTTCTCACTGCCGCCATTATTGCCAGCGAGGGGTCCGCAACTCCAAATAATCCCGTACACCCTTGAAAATAATCTATAATAATCTGTTAATCTTTAAAATCTCCAGTAATCTCTGGAAATCCCAAAAAATCCTTGATAATCTTTAAAAATCTCAAAATAATCTCACCATATCTGCTAGTATCCGGAGTTTATTAAAATTAATTAACTTTAATTGATAATTATTAGTAGTTATAATGGTTAACTAACTTTAATTAATAAATATTAAAAGTTATAAAGTAGTTATTAATAAATAATCTCTTTAAAAATCTCTGATAATCCCAAAAAATTTTGGAAATCTCAAAAAAATCTCTGGTAATCTTCCAAATAATCTCAAATAATCTCTGATAATCTCAAAAATCTGGTTAATCTCTTAATCTCGTACACCTAAAATAGGAGTTGCGGACCCCTCGATTGCCAGTCTTCTATGGTACAATATTATCTTGGTACAATATAATCTATATGGTATGGTAGGCTACGTCACTATCTATGCTAAATTTGCTCATCATCATCATAGATTGTAATATGTACAATCAAGAGTAGATAAATACCAGTAATTATAATAACAATTAGCTACTCTTGATATTAATTATGTGTAGATTTCTGTCTACAGTACAGTCATTTGGGTGTATGTATGCTGGGAAAGACTTTGTGCTTGCATGTAAGTGTAACTGCCTGTCAATGTAATGCTACATAAAATCCCAGGCTGGACTATATTAATGCGTATACATACCCAAACTTCTACCATGCATGCAAAAGGCTCGAATACTTAGTGTAAATAAGATTTGTGAGTGCCTTATAACTTGGTGGTCATTTGTGGAGGCATATGTAGGCTATTAGATTCTAAAGCCAATAAGGAAATTAATTTTTATCCTTATCCTATTTTCCCAAAAAGTGAGTATAATTTTTCATGCTTAAAAAATAAACAAAACTTTTCCTAGTATCTTTCCTTAGCCTTGGTGATTAAAGACTGGATGACTGCATTCCCTGCTAGTTCCCATACTTTTTTGCCTAGGTGGGTGTTTTCACACTTAAAGTATAGCCTCTAATCATTTCTGCTCAGATATTTAAAATTCAAATTCCTTTTCTTGATTCTTTGATATAATACTGCAACTTACCTATGTGATAGACCTTCCCATAGGATTCAGTCTTTTTTATACATGTACATGTACTGTTTGTATTACCAATCTACTATTAGTATTACTGTTCATTATCATTTATTTAGCACAACCATATAGGCTATGTCATCTCCTCGTACCCTAAAAGAGTCATATACCCACATGATGTCTGGAAAAAATCCTGCTAATTCCATAGCCAAGTATATCTACATTGTACATAATCCTAAAGATGTGGCCGTGTCTTATTACTATCATGCAAAATGCATTTTGATTTTAATGGTGACTGGAATTGCGTCTTTGAGTTTTTTTTATAAAAGGAGAAGTACCATTTGGGCTATGGTTTGATCATGTTCTTGAATGGTGGAAATATAAAGGTTTGAAATCTATAATTATACATTTCAATCTGATTATTATAGACAGATGCCAAGAATATTTTGTTCTTAATGTATGAAGATTTAAAGAAAGATCTGTCTAGATCAGTAAAAACTATTGTGCAATTCATGGGATATAGTCTTGATGATGCAATGATTGAGAAGATTACTAGACAGTGTACATTCGATAGCATGACAGTTTACCTGAGGCACCAGAGAGGTTACTGTCTTTAATTTCACATCTTTTATTGGCAATTGGAAGATTCATTTCAGTCATGAGCAGTCAGCAAGGTTTGATACACTAAAAGAATGTCAGGAAGGGGCTTAGTTTTTGAATTTGAATGAGACCTTTTTATTTCTAATTGAATTAAATTTGACTGCTATATTTTGATGCTGCTATAGCTCTTGATAGATCCT